CCCTCAAGAAACTTGTTCAAGCTGCTTCTGCACATAGTGAACCAGGAAACTATTCAAATAGACTGATGTGTACGGCATCAAGGAATTGATTGTTTTCAGGAAGTTTGGGGAAATTTTTATCAAAGAAAGAATTCCACGAGATCAGAAGGCAAGCTGCTATTACACAGGTGAATTTTAACTCAGCAACAACATACTTGTATCTAGGAAGTAGGAAGAACTTTCCCCATTATTTTTTCATGTGGTGGTGGGACTTCAGAGGCCTGCAGGGTGGGGGCACAGCCCAGTCTACAGCCCTACGGCTGCTTTCAGAATTAGCAACTTTGGGGCAGAACTCAGCCTTCACATAGGCCCAGTGCCCGAGAGCCACAGCCAGACCCTCCCGAGCCCTGTATTCCCAGGCAAAGCTGGCACACGACTCCCGATAGCAAGACTGAGCTCAAAGACCAACACTGGAAACTGCCGAAAACATCTAGACGAGTAAAGAGCAAAGTGTATTCTTCAACGAAGTGAAGCACGCACACTTTCTTCCAATGGTTCTGAGAGTAGATGTCTTTTCAAAGGAAATCTGAATTTAGGAAAAATTAAAACTACTTTCTATGCACAGGGATGTACTTTGTGGCACTATTTCTAATATTGAAAATTGGGAACAACCGAAATGACCAATACTGGAGAATCTTAAATAAAATGAATAGTTAAATAAAGAAAAGAAAAATGAGTGAACTGCTATAATTTTCCTCCCACCATTCCTGAATTTCTATGCCTTTTCCATGCTTTTCACCACAGAAGTTTTCATTTTACTTCTGTGGTCAGAACATTCCAAAAGATAAGACCATTATCTCGGGATAAAACCTAAGTGATCTGGCATTGATAAGCAATACATTTATGGCATTGTTTATCAAAAGATAAAGCCTTTGTTAAACATATAGATTCAGAAAACGTCAGCGCGAGATAACAACTTTGCACATCATCTGGCCCAACAAATAAAACTGAGGCATGTTTCCGAGAGTCTGATGGCTGCAGAGCTGTAAGCCCAGGCTACCCAATTCTTCCTCTCCTGTGGCAGCTGCTTCCAATAAATGGTGCTTCCAGTAAACTGGAGTGGGGCCTCTAGCACAACCAAAGGTGATGAGTAAAAAAGTAAATTGTGATAAGATTTCAACTTGAAAACGAACAATTCCCTGTGTCTGCAGAAATGCACGCCATTAAGGAGCAACTAGGAGGCATAGAAAGGGGCACAGAAAACTGGAACCACAAGAAGTGCACCTTTTCCTTGAGCTGCTCTAACACTTGAATGCCTGCAGTCTTCCCTTCAGCTTTTTTGGTAAGTTTTAAGATATAATTCATGTACCACACAATTCACCCATTTAAACTATACAATTCAATGATTTTCATAGTTTATAGAAAAAAACAGAGTTGTGCAACCATCACCACAATCAATTTTAGAACATTTTTATCACCACCCCTCCCCAAAATCACACCCTTTAGCTATTCCCCCCCCAACCCTGTTCCTTCATCCCTAGGCAACCACCCATCTTCTGTCTGTCTTTATCGATTTGCCAATGCTGAATCTTTCATATAAATGGAACCCCACAATATCAGTTCTTCTGCGACTGGCTTCTTCTGCTTAGCCCAGTGTTTCCAAGGTTGCTCCACGTGGCTGTATGTATCTCCCTGCTACTCAAGCTCTTTTGTCCTGGTGATGCACACAAATTAACATGGGCAGATGAGCACAGGAAAAAGACAGGAGAATGGCAACGGAGCAGAGACAAAGATTTCTGAGGATTTACTCTCATCCTTACCTTCATTCTGCAAAGCTGCCTCAGCCTTTTCAACGGTTACCAATAGATTTTCACAAAGGTCTTTTCTTTTGCTCACTATTGAAAAACCATTCCAGACATACATCATTTCCTAATGAGGAAGAATAAAAAACCATTTGCAATTATGTGAAGATACTCAATGTCCTTTATGACTATGAGACTATGTATATGTGTTTTGCCTTGGTTGCTAAGGATCCCAAGACAATATTTAAAGATCATTTTTCTTAGCTTTCTTCATTTGGGGGTTAGCCATATAATATCCCCTTCTCTCATTTTATTATATGCTTTTTGCCTTCTATACTGTGTAATTCAGTATATATATTATGTTTCTACTGAAAAAGTAGTTTAGTCATTCATTTAACAAACACTTAAGTTCCTACTGGTATTCAGTTCTTTTGGGAGATAGAGTATAGATACAGAAATAAATACTGTATAATATTTTAAATTGATACTAAAAACAATTCTGTTTAATGTAAATTTTTGTTGTTACTTTTAAGGAAAGGAAAATATTTTTAAATGTCTGCCAGTTGTTTACA